ACCACCCTTGGCATAATATAACATTATAACGAACCGTTTCGTTTTCACGGTCGAATGCGTATGTGTCCGGTCACACACTTCCGGTAATATAATAATAATCGTGACAATGATGAAGACATTATAATAATATTATCATCCGTATTATTATTTCTGTCTATAAACTATGTACACGTTTCGTTCATATTATAATATCGGAGTGGAAAAATAATAATAATGCTTGCCACCGATGTCACCGATGGCTGTAGTTTGGTGATATATCCCGAAAATCATTAACTTTATCGGGTGGCATTAACAACGCGGCTTCCGGGCATATCGAACGTCACGCAAATCGTATCAGCGCTACAACACCACCCCACCAGGCTGGCGCCTCGCAGCCTTTCAGCTATATATTATTATATTATTATGGAAAATACATTTCGTTTCTCGTCTCTTTATGTATTTACATTTTTTTTTTTTAAACAGTTTTTTTGTTTCCCGCACTACCCAACTATACCGCATCCATCCAGCTATCTGTCTTCGCCCACAATTCCCTATATGCGTAGCTCCGGGACACTCTCCTGTTTTGCGAGTACTTCAGCTGCTTCCTTGCTCCGACCGAAATCCGTCCAATCCCCAATGATTTTTTTTTACCATTACAACTCGACAAGAAAATAAATTTTACTGGAAATGGATCCCGTGGTGATGATTGTGGATGCGATGAAAGTTGATCATCTGCCATGCGTACCTAAATAGTTTTAAAGTCAAATTATTCATTGAAATATGAAATTTATTAGAATTTCGGTAACAAATCAATATGCCAATAATTGTTTAATATTACTTCAACCACTTGTGTTAACATCAACGTCTAAAATGTATTTTATATTATTTGATAACATTTGGAATGGATTATAAGTGCATTCATTTTAAGCAAGTATTCAGAATTCGCGAAAGTCATGTTAGTGTAACAAAAAAAAAAAAAAGGATATACATTTATATATTATGTTATGCATTGAACAACGAATCGTTTTATAGCAGAGACACATACGCATTTATGAAAATGAAAATTTGTATGACGTAATATGCGATAAAATAAACGTTTAAAATAGCTAGGTACTCGCGGATAAAGTGGAACAACAATTTATTATATACGATTCAATGCTATCAAACCGATCTGAATAATAGTCAGCTGTGGTTACAAATACGGAATTTTTTCGTCCTTTGGTCAGGTCGCTTTGTGACAAATATAGTGTATTATATTATATGTACGTGTAATGGTCCCAGAGTTCCCCACAGTATAAGTATATCCGTGCAATGTATCCGTAAACAGTTCCATTGAGCGAGTTTCGAGGCGTGGCCGAGACCGATATGTAATCGTTTCCAGTGCACTTATGCAGAGATATTCTCGAACCAATATACGAATATAAAAATACGGAGAGGCCATCTGCTCGCAATAATGTTGACGAGGACAATTTTTTTTTTCTCTCGCCAGCCGTTTTTATATATTCTTAACGCGCGCCGCACTATAGCCGGAGAAAAATCATGTACGTAATCATGCAATACGCTGTATAGTAAATGACCTCTTCGTGTACTGCAATATGCACACTGTACACTGTTGTATGACAAATAAGACGCACTCGCGTCGCGTCGCAAAGGCTCGGAAATAACACATTTTTGCAGTGCGTGAGAATCGTATGGACGAAATGCAATAGGAATAAAACGATAAAAATAATATTATGTGTTCACACGTCGGATCCTAACAATTACTTTCGACGGTGTAAAGCATTGTATATTATTTTTATAACATACGCACTCGATATTATGGGTACCGATATGTAAGCTAAAACGTATACCGATGTAGATATAATATTATACAGTATGCATGACGCGTATACCGCATGCAATAAAGGCACAGCGAAAAGGTATTATTTTATTACAAGTACCTTTCTATACATATATCCGGCGAGACGGCCGGGATGGAGTAATTTTTTATTCCAACAGTGGATTGCTCAAAATTTAATTGAATAATTAACTTTGTCCTGAACGGGCATAATATAAATTATATTATTACATAGTAGCCTCCAATGGCCTGAAATAAAACTTTGTGGATTTAGGTAAATCTCAATACGCAAAGCGACTTCAGGGGCATAAAATCCAAGGTTTCAAATGACTAAATGGTGTCATAAAAGCCATTAATTACGACGAGGGGAGTACGCCCTTATTTTTCATCGAAATCTACAATCGAAACAGCGAGTGCGCAGCGCCTGGTAAAAATGGCCCACTATACTAATGACTAATGAGTACTCATTGTGTCACGAGAGACTCATTAAACTATTAAAATCTCGAAGATCGTTTGCAATAATAATTACCCCGTTCGATATAATATTATATACATATATCTAATACTTTTTAACTACTGAGGGCCGCCGTGCGCCTCAAATCATCGTGTTTGGCTGATTATAATTTATACAGTACACCAACTCTATAAGAGTTAACAATTAGTAGCCTGCAGCGTGCGTTTATCTCGAGTAGCGCAATGAAATAGAGTAGATAGAGCGAGAGTCGACATTGTGGAAATTAAATAATATAATTGAGTATTATGGAAAATATCGATAGACACACGTATAATACTTACTTAATAATTATTTGTCTACTTAGTAAACCTTTTTGTTGTACCACGACGAGTATATTATGATATGGGCGCTTATTTGTTGCCGCGATCTCACTGATAGTTATCAATCGATCAAAAATAAAATTAGTTATTTAATAATCGCGTATAATATCAATGTGATTATAATATTATCTACTTGATATTTATATAATATTTTCGTCTATTACGCAATGTAAGTGTAACCGGTAACGCGACTACAAACTTTATCGTGTCCCGTATATATATATATTATAAAGCCAGGGGCGTGTTCAGAAAATGTATGTGGGGGGGGGGGGGTCAATAGTAAAATTGAAGGAAATAGTCTTTTATCTAACGACCATTTTTTTTTTTTAATCAACAACAAATTCAATTTATAAATTTAAATATTATATTGCTAATATAGGAACTATTATACTAATAAACAATATAGGTACATTCAAAAATTAAAGAACAAAATCTAGTTTTCTTGATTTTTTGCTCAATTCATTTAAAACTTCTTCTGCTGTTAGTGGAATTTCTTTATGAACAGCTAACATAGCTAAGTCATTAAGTCGAGTCTAAAACCAAAAAAATTTGTTAAAAAAATTGATATACATTTTTATTTTATTATCCGGAAAATACCTCAGCCATTGTGTTTCGTAGATAAAATTTCAATCTTTTGAGACAAGAAAACGTTCTCTCGGGGGAGATGTTGAAACAGGTAAAGTGCATAGTATTTTTAATAGAAAATGTAAATTGGGAAATATTTCTTTATCACACTGTCTCAACGCTTCTAAACAATTTTTTGAATATTTTACATGCTTATTAAGTTTGGTATACCATATATGTATAGTTTAGCTTTAACTGTTAGCTTGTCAGTATCGAGGTAAAATTCAACAAGTTCATTAAAGTTTTCTGAATAAGTTAAAGAAAATAAACATTGAAAGCCTAAAAAAACAATTTATATTTTGAGTACCTATTAAAAGTATATTAAAAATTATTCTTTGCCCAACCTTTGGGTATATTTTTATGACATAAAAATCTTGCTTCTAAGTACTGAATGAATGAGTCTATGTATGGAATAGCAACAGTTACAAGATAATAAGACGCAATTACGTTGGAGTTCGGCAACAGTGAGGCAGTGTACATATTCGATGTTGGAAGCATTTAACGATAAAATACGAATTTTGAAATTTTATGATAATATAATTCGAAAAGTACACTATAAAGATACATTATTTGTTTTATAATAAAAAATAAAAATAATACGGTCAATGGGGGGTGTTTGAACCCCATGACCCCCCTCTCCGTGAGCACGCCCCTGAATAAAGCACATCCTCGGGTGGTAATTAATGGCTCTTGCATAGTTGTAGAGGCCATTTGGCCATTCGACAACTTACATTTTAGCGTTTAAACCGAAAGGGCTGTATTGTATACGTGTGGCTCGTATTCAGTTTTACGTAAATCCCTGAAACGTTTCTTCGCCACACGCTCAACACGTGACGGGGTATTAAGCCAACAATGAATACAGTAATCACGTATGGAGTGTGTAACCCTTCTAAAAACCCCGTGACCATAATATTATACAATATATATGCACATTATATTATAATATATTTATATATACGGGTACTTTTACCACATTGAACGTCTCTCGATGATCCACTTTTAACTATACAATAATAATATAATATTTATTGAGTTTGAATCATAGATAATGTACTCGACTAAGTAATGAAGTAATTAATTTGCAATCACCTACGATGGTACGCGTCACATTTTTGTTAAATGGTCTCGACTTTTCAAATTTTCCTCAATTCCATAAAATTTGAAAATAAAATTTTATATTTTAGTGGCCACCTCAATTAGAAGACTTTTCCACTAATCTACTACCCAATACCTATTTAGGGGGGGGGGTTGATAGGGTGCATTGTATTGATCAAAACACACTTTACAGGAAAAACTCTCACACCTCGTAGATTGGTCGGATTTCCGTAATTTTTTTTTTGTTAGATAGAAGAATATTTTTTACAGTGCGCATTGGACTTTGATTTTTAATTACGTTACTAAAAAAAAATAATATTACAAAAACTAAAAAGTTGTAAAAATGGATTAAATTCAAACTTGTAATATAAGATTTCGAAAAATAATTTTGAAAATCTAAGTCCAATGCGCCCTGCAATAAGTATTCCTCTATTTAACGAAAAAAAAATTACGGAAATCGGACTAATCTACGAGGCGTGAGAGTTTTCCTGTAAGGCATGTTTTTGAGAAAAAAAACAGGTCTCGCGCAGGCCCCTTAAATATCAATTGAAAGTATTAAAATGTGAAGTCTATTACAGTTATTGTTGTTTATAGTATAATTTCTTACACATTTCTTTAGTTAAGTACATACATGTACAGTGGTAATGTTTCTTACTAATATACATATACATATACATATAAATTACAAATCAGGTGTGATTGTCGTGTTACAAAACGTAGTATGCTACTCGATATTTTCAACCTCGAAGAAAATTTATAAATCATAAATATGCATTAATAATAGTAACCTTTGTTTATATTTACTTCTAGTGGGTATTAGGTAATTTTTACATTTTATTCGTTTCTATAGTGATAAACAAAGCGTTACCCAAAGTCTGTTAGAAAATAAAAATATCTTTAACCAACTCAGAGTATACATTAATTAAAATTTATTTACTTCAAATTTTAAGATACGAGACACTTCACTTGCCTAGCCCCCTTCCTGTACCAACATGCATCACTGAAGATAACATATATAAATTATTAAGATAATATATTACAATAAAGGTCACTGCTACATTTTCAAATGTTAACTAAACCGTCTAAAACTGTACTCACTATACCTCTATTTAATAAAACAACAATAAATAAACATAAATGGTATTCGTAATGCTTTTAAAAAACTACTCTATTCGAGAACCAAAATCAATACATTATTACGAAAATATGGTAAAGAAAATAAAAAATGTAAATATTATTCTATTCGAAACGTGTATTGAATATTACATTTATAATTGGTTTTAAATCGAAACATCTTAAATTGGTAACCAACAAGAATATTTAAGCCTAACAGAACTACTCAAAGTACAATATTTCCTCAGGATCTCTTTGTATGTAAATAATAGCATACTTTAGATCAACGAGTCCATTAAACATAAACCTATGTCTTCAAAGTTTGTAATACATAACTAAGTACTTCTTTTTACTCTTCTTAAAAAGTATTCAACCGAATACCACCATATATCTGTAAATTCTGATTGTGTAGCCCTGAATATAGTCAATATGTAGATTCTACATTGTAGAACGTAAATTATATATTTAAGAGCCAACTCGGAAAATAGTTATACATTTATAATGCGTGATTTTTATCGTTTTAGATTTTTAGTTTTTTAATTTATGTTAACGCATCTGCAGGACGAAACATGACCTAACAATTCTCACCACCATTAATTATCCTTTGATAATTCTGATTTTTGCAATATTTTAGTTTACCTACTTAAAGAAGATATTTTCAAAATATTTTTTTAATATTTTTTAAATATTTGGTCATCATATTTTAAGAAGTATTTTGTGGCGGCACATTTTTTTTTCAAATAAGAACCTACTTTTTGTGTAACTTGTTAAGCATAATATGATTTGTTAAAAAATTGTTGATGTACACAAATCAATATTCAAATAATAGTTCCTGAGTTATTAAGTTATTAAGCCACTACCTGTAGCTTAGTATACATAATTTTATATAGTCCATAATAATAGGTTACGAGATTGCAGGTTATGATGTTTTGAAAATTATAGTTATGAATAATAATATAGCTATATAAGTATTTTTTAATTCGTAGCAATTTTATGAATATATAATAATAAAAATCTATTAGACTACTGCATATATTTTATAGTTGATGTAAATCCATTATTAAGGATTATTATCTTTAGTACATTAAATTTTCAATAAAAAATATGAATTTATTAGTTTTCCATAATTATTGGTGATTTTCTTTCGAAAAAAAAAAATATGAGTATCACTATTTGTACCTTAATTAATGATATAAGAATAATCTTAAAATCTGAAAATATGAAGTTTAAATAGATATACAAATCATAATTTGATAAGTTGAATTATTTAAGGGAAAATTTAAATGTGTGTATAATAATTGGTGAATTACCTTCTGTACTGCAATACAATGACAAATTATAAATACATTTATAATTTATAAATTTAGGCTTTTAGTTAAAAATACCAACAGAAATATTTACTTCAGTTTGTAAAAAAACCTCTGCTATATGCATAATCAATTTCAACCTTGAAAACTAAAAAAATTTAATTTTTAATAAATCCAAGTAATCTTTTAAAACAAATCTTAATGTTATTTTATTACATTTTAACGTTATATATAACTTACAATTAAACTCCCTAAAATTCGTTTCTTCGTCCTATAATACAAATGTTTATGACAGTTGAACTTGGATTTCTTTTTATAAACTAAATTACATTTTCTGTAAGACAAAAGATTTATGATAATATAAGTTGATGAAATAAGTAAATATTTATGAATATATTAATATTATAATATAAATATACTTGAATAATAATATTTACTGTTCCTAGTTGTACACGAATTATTGCCATAAAGTTTTTCGAAAACATTTATTTATTAAACCATTTACATGCAAAAGTAAAAGATATGTTTAAACGTTTCTAATTGAAATAATAATAATAATAATAAAAAATATATCATAAACAGTGTAAGCTTGCATAACATCCTATTACAACTGTACAATGTACCTATGCACATCAATATTTCATTGTAAATTGTTTATATTGTATAAGTTTCTGCATTACAATTGTGTATATTTTGTGTATGACAGTCTTTTACATTTTCATACGCAAAGTGCTCTCATATTAAAACATAGTGTGCGACATTGAAATTATATCTACAACGACGTTTATTAGTCGAACATACACGAATTTTGAATTAACAACAGAGTGATTTTTTAAATAATATGTACCTAACGTTATACTATAATAATTAATAATAATAATGTATTATGAATTCTAAATTACGCGTATATTACACGATATTGTGTACGATTTCAACTTACACGGCTTTTATTTTGTTTCAGCTGGCTCGAACATTGTGGGCAAGTTCACTCAGAGTGTCAGGCGAATAGTACAAGACGTCAAGGACGAAGGCACCGCTAGTACGTTACAAAACTAATTATTACGATACAGCACAATCAGGCCAGTATATGCGCTATACGTACACACGATTCATGACGAGTGGTGGTGAAATGCAATTTTCGGGCAGCGGAAATTTCACCGATTTCTTTTGTAGAAAATAAAAACAGAACTCAAATAAACGCGTAGACCACCGCCAACGGGAAATGGGAAACTTTCTGAGAGAACTGCGATAGTGGAACAAAATTTTCATTCCCATGATAATAAACGGAAAATTACAAACCGTCTACTGAAATACTCCGTCCCGCTCGACGTGTCTCCGGTGTCGTTTAAATAAATACCTTTAATCAATATGTATTATGTTATTAGCCGCGCTGATTAAATCTCACATCGTTGAGCACTGTAATTAAGGCCCATCAAAAACATATTTTTACTCACTTGAATTATTTTTGAACATTGTCAGTGACATAATTCTGTTTCATAAAATGTTTTAATACAGTTCCAAACTGTTACTCGGATTTAATGAGCATTAAACAAATTTTTATTTAAATACTGAGCTAAGAAACAATTAGATATATAAAAAAAAAACTTAAAAACAATATTAATATTGCACGGTGTGTTCTATAAAATAAAATAATTATAATTTATTAAACACATAAATTATATTTTAAAAAATGAAAAAAATACTTCTTAATATTAAAAAAAATAGTTAGATATTTATACTTTTACTGGTTACTTTATATTATGTTTTCAGTTGTTTTACTTCTTTAGAAATTATTATATAATTATTGTAAAGTATCAATATTTTAATATTTTCAAATGAACAAGGGTTGTTGAATGTCATAGATGAATTTGGGTAATTTTAAAGTAACCATCCACATGATAATAATTAAATAACGTTCTTATTACATAAGTAATTAACAAAATGTTTTAGCTTACATTTTCTTCGAATTCAAGTATACATGATTTAATAACAATATCTTTACAATAAATTAAATATAAATAGTATGTATAATAAACACACTAAACCACAATTTCTTGATTAAAATAAATAATAAAATAAAATTTTAACAGTTACTTTACAACTTATATGATTTATTATAGAACTACTATTATAAAACAATTATAATTTGTTATATTATTATATGTATTTCATCTTTCCGTGTGTAAGTATTCAAACTCCTCCTAAATAGATGCACTGATTTTGATGAAATTGTTTGTGTGTGGTCTGTGAATGATTTGGACTCACAATAGGATCAGGTAGGCCCAACCCGGGGATGTTCTCAAAAATTTGACTATAGGAGAAATAATGAGAAGAAATTAGTATTTATTTATTATTGGTTGCCATTGTTTTATTCGGTACAAGTATGCATCAAATCGAATTTTCACACATTGTCTACTAAGGTGGCTAAGTTGCACTTATAGCTGGTGGATTGCCTACTTGATATGATGTCGCACTTTGTCCGTGATCCGATCAGGGCTGAGTTGCACTTACTACAGCGAGCTATACCCAAAAAGAGTTGAACAATCACTAGTTTTTTAACCTAACCTAACAGTTATAATTATTTACGGGCAACGAAGTGCGTGGGATCAGCTAGTTGCTATATAAATAATGACCAAACTACGAAACTATTACCAACATCAGCGTAGGTAAAACTAATAAAACTAAAAAATAATACAGTTAGGAGGTACCTATCATACAGTAAATAGTTTTAAAACATATTATAATTTATAATGATGTTATGTTCATTATTTTATATTTTATATTTGTTTGTAGTACCTATGTAAGGTTTTTTGGCGAGCGTAATTTTTAATTTTTAATTTATAACTTATATCATAACTGAGAAGAAGTCCATAATTAATTTGAGTTTTAGATTAATGAAACTTTGCAGAAGTTTAAAAATATAGCTTGCAATTTTACAGTTATTTTCAGAAGTATTCTTTTATTTTAATAAATGTTTATAAGTTGTTCTTGACGAACTACCTAACAATAATTTAACATTTGTAGATTTCAAGAAAAAATGCAAATCTTGATGATTTTCGATTAAAATAATTTAAATGTTTATTATAATCGGTTAGAAGATAAAAAAAAAATAGTGTAAAAATAAAAACTTCATTTTCTTTCACGTATGAATTCTTTTTATTGCTCTATATTTATGTATACAGTATCACGTAGTCGTTGTTTGGGTTACTATCGGATACTCGGATGACAAAAAGTAAATACTGTAATAACAAGTATCGCTTCCGTGGTCTAACACTGACTTATCTTATTTCATCTTAAAAATGGTACGATGCCAACAAAACAAATAATTCTATAACAATGTTGTTGCTATTCGATATTTCATTATAACAATAATAATTGTATAATACTTCTATTAAGTTCTGATATAAAATATCTGAATTGAATTCACATCGAAATTTGAAAATATACAAAGGAAAAAAATTCGATTAAAATGAATTACGTAATACAACAATATAGTTATGTTAACATCATTTTATTATGTTAAACGTTAGTCAAATGTCGAAACGATTTACAGTTTTAATATTCGCATTACCTATACTCTTTAAGAAAATTGATAATTTTAGTATTAGGTACTGTTTGGAAGTTGAAAAGAATATTATGGTGTGTTTTTTAATTTAATATACATTGCAGAGGAAGATTCATGTGACAAAAATAAATTTATGAAAACACATATATATATTAGAATCACCAAAAAAATTGCTAATCATATTTTATATTACAGCATTCCTAAAAATTATTCAGCTTAATTTTTGTTATAAAACAACACATTATTTATAAGATTTTTAATAAAACTAAATGAAAATTTCGTTCATCAAAAGAGAAAACAAATATTTCATTATGTCATTATGACATTGAAGCATTTATTATTACTTGATCGAACACTCATTAAAAATGTATTATTATGACATTTTTCTATTATAAAATATTTTGGTTTGCATCTTTAGTCCCAAGGGATTTTTAAATAATTTACTATAACCTAGTAAGAAGAAAGATAGCACATAAAATGACTTTTTATAAAAAAAATAAACAATTTATTTTATATTGGTTTTGCAAAAATATCGATTATATTAAACCAAAATAATATAGATTTATGAAATATAATAATATTGGACGTGATGTACCGGAGATTGAGTTTGTACGTTTATTGGCACACGTACAAAAAAAAAAATATAATACCAACAAAAATGGTTTTAGATGATACGATTAATTGTTGTCGTTATTATTGAAATGTACCTCGTTGCAGTAAAATAACAAATGTAGACAATTGCAACTACTATTGTCGATCGATTATCTCAGTAGTTTCTGACACGGTGGGCGTAGCTGGTATATCGTCGTCACGGCTTGCTCATAACAAAATCTTAAATCTAATAAATAACGACGTAGAAACGACTTTAATAATAATATAATAATATATCGTACAATAATATTATGCAACACGCGCTATCGGTACTCGACAATCGCGCGACTTTTCCTGCTCTCTATGCACCCGGCCAATATGCACTTTGAGCTGTTTCGACGCGTTTCGCATGGGCAATTGGTTTCGGCGGCGGCGAATAAGGGACAAAAGCCAAAAGACGTATACACCCGTCGGAACGCGTTTGACGTTAAAATCGATACCATTACCGTTGGTCGTCTCGGGGGCCGTTCCCCGCGGAGTTCGGGCCGGTCCGTCCGAAAACCGCTGACCGTGCCCGGAAAAAAATAAAACTCCCATAGGTCCTTTGCTGTAGGTCTGCAGCCCGAGACGTAGAGTTTTTTTTTTGTGTTTGTGTTTACGTTTCCCCACCCACCTGGGCGCAACGATATTAAATAACACGCTAAAAAATGCGTAGAGGTGGTGTGGCTATATTTGTTTTTTTGATTGCCGTCCTTCCGCAGGACGCCGGCGCTCTGCATAGGCAAAACTGTGAGCACGGCCGTCGAGCGGCCACAATACGCAGATATCGTACCGGTAAGGCGCACGGCCATGTTTATCCGTCCATACCCACTTCCGGTTTGTCTACGAATTATATTTTCCATACTTGCTTCCGGTTCGTCTACGAATTATATTTTCGTTCTACCACTCCGACGACGAAGTTCGATGTCTCGAAATATTGATTATATTCGATTCCATTATGCATTTTAATATTATATCTGGTCAGTCTTGGCGATTTTCCCTCAGTATACGCTCGCGACTGCGTGTGTATAATAATATTAGACATTATTATAGTTATTACTCTGTTGTAACATTATATTATTATTGCTGTTATTATTATAATATAATAGCAGTGTTACATGATTTTTATAGCCTTAACCTCGTGATGGAGAAAGAGTGACTGAGTGTATGATTGACTGGGGGGGGGGGTTGAAGGGGAGTGAGAGATCATTATAAAATACTTTTAAACTTTTCCCGCCTCGAATATTAGTTAAAAATAATAACAAACGTTTAAACTCTTGAATTATTAAATTTTATGAACGTGTTTTTTTTCCTCAGAGGTACTTTGCTCACTTTCGCGAGAAAGTTTTTACCCGATCCCTGAGCGTAATGCTCTAATAAATGAAAATATTTAAATTTATACACATTTTTTTTTTTTTTAAGTTTCAACACATTATGCAGAGTTTAACAAGCATTTTCAAGGCATTAGGAATAATTTAAGAAATTAATAATTAATTACAATAGTTGCTTGTTCTTGTCGTATATTAATATTATATATAGACGGAAAAATAAAACAATCATATCGAATTATTCATCGCCTTCGGTGCAGACCGTTAGTTCGACAATAGGAATAATGTATAATTGCAATATTAATAATCTATACAATATAATATATGTGTATTATGTAAATATACGTGAGAGAGATTATGTGTGTGTGTTCTTGTTTCAGGGTAACTCTGAAGGTTAAGTTAAAACTGTATACACAATATACTTATTATCTGGATAATAGTGTTGGAGTAAAACCACGATTAAAAATATACATTTTGCACATTGGAATATGACCAAATTGAATTCTAGAAAATACT